GTTGAAATATATTACGAAAGTCCAGACATTGTAACGAACATATATCTACAAATGGATCTACCACTTATCTAAAGTCCTATAGGTCGATCACAATCTGTTCAAAGATGCCTGCGGCCCTTTTTATGTTGTTTGCCTTTCATTTGAACATAATTCTTCATCATATGGACTAGATTTAAGCAGATAGTCAATATCAATATCCCAGAGATCTTCAATGCCGAGTACTTCGGCCATACACATTTTAGATAAGATGATTGATTATAAATGTTTGTTGATCTCGGTGTGTTTTGATGCGGCAGTTTTGCGGGGTATGGTTGTAATTGGCAGATGTGCAACGTCTATAGCACTCGGGAATATTTCGGCTGACTTGGCATTACTCTAAACTTTTGTTCATAGCCAGGGAGTAAATTGTTCACAGACTGCTCACATTATGCTGACAGTTATCTGATATGTAGTCATTTTTCTGTGAAAAGATTTAATGTTGGACCTGTTGCTCTAATGATCCTTGCTCTGACACTTCTGTGTATTCTGTGAGGCCCTTGTAACTCTGTGACAGCAGCGATAACTTATTAACATTCTGATGTTGTTTTTTGGTCGCTTTCTCTGACGTTTCCGATTCTTTGGTTGCTTTTTCCGTGACAGAAAAGTTGTTTTCATATGATTCCGATCCTTTTTATTTTATTGATACAGGTGTTTTTTCTTATATTTGATGCGTTCGTTGATTTTTGTGACGGAAGTTTTTCACTGTTAAGATTCCAATGTTTTTTTGTTTTTTTTTTGACAGAAGCATATTATTTTGATTATGCTGTTTAGTTCTGTTAAATGAGAGAAGTGTTTTGTCTCATGATTCCGATAACTTGGTTATTTTTTCTGACAAAAGTCTTTTTCTTATGTTTCGAGTTTTGTCGATATCATTCGTACATTGTTCAGCTGTGTGTTCGGGACAATGGGAAGAGATGCGAGGAGAATTACATGTTTGTTATTTTTAGTTAGTATAAGTAAAATGAGTATTTTTGACATTTTTTTAAAACTTCATTAATGTCAACACAGACACTAATGGTCTAACGATTGGTGCTGTTTCTGTTGATCCGACTAAAGAATGTCAGAAGTTTGTTAGAAATGCCTTGTAACCTTTTTGTGTGTGGACGTCAAAAATTGTGACAGAAACTTTGCTTTTCGTTCCATAGTTCACTGTTTGATTCGAACATTTCTGAATATATCTATTTCTGGTGATTACCTTAAAACTCTTCTCGGTTTCCATATCATTATGTTGCGGATCGTCGGTTAGTTTATGTCAGAGACGAACACAATTGTCTAGTTGTCTCCCTTTGAACGTTTTTCTACAGTAATAGGTACACACCGTTACAGTTGTTGATCCTCTGGCTACGGTATTTGACCTTGAAGCAATCGCCCGACGGACAAACGAAATTCTCGAGTTTTTTCATACAAAATAAATTCAGTATTACCCCTATGACATCTGAGTAAGTGATGATCACATGTCGTGCACCGCCATCTCTTTTTGTCAAAGGGGCAGAGATATGTGTACCGGAAGCAGAACACGTGGTTTTCAAAGATGCATAGAAAAATGAACCATATGCAACAAAAGTATGTCAACACCGCAACAAATTAAAACCAACAAAGATAACAAAGTTGAAATTTCTATCGGCAGTAAAACATGCTATTGTAATGCAAACTTTAACGACAAACAACACGAAGATAGCGCACGTCGTTTTATTATGCTTTTCACATCATGCAAACAACACAAGGCACCAATTTGTCGTTCTCGTATGGAGGACATGGCAGAGACCCACACTTGGTCACCACAGGACGGAGCAGTACTCCATCATCGTCCCCCTGTCCACCCGGAACTGGCTGTGGATGTCCATCCATACATATGTAGTCTGTGTTCGAAGGATGATCTGGGTAGCCAGCGACAATAAAGCCACTGTAAGCCTCAACCCAGCCCGGGAAACACGTTGTCCTCCCGGGGATCATAACTGAGGTGGCGTGAACGGAGTTTCTGCAAACAGCACAAGAAACATCTTCGTCATTCTGCGGGAGGCCAAACAGGTCATACCCTCGTTGAATTTCGGCGCCGTATATGAAGCCTGGATATGTATTATAGTGGCTCTGTCCAGGCGTGGGGACCTCCGGCATACACAAGAAATTCGCAGCTCCACCAGAGTGATTGTAGTATTCTCCTCCTACGAAACCTTCGCAACGATAAGAAACACACTGGGAAGGTTTTGCGACATAATAAACAAAAGATAAAATATCCAATAGCAATCAGAAAGGTGACGTCGTTAATAGAATACACAAGAAGTGTTCCGTTCTACAAAGGACAGTCATTCCGGCCCCATCTGGTAAAAACTGTACCCTTGCCCTTCTCTGTTTAAAGAAGTGTTAGCTTAATCAGTCATGCGTCAGTTATTAAAGACAAGGTCATTTTTTTCTTCACAAATGGCACACAAGTTTCCTACATATTGAAAAAATGAGAACACCGCAATGTAAATACACCCGTTGTCACAAGCACAGAATTGAAGAAACAAGTCCAAAATATTAACTTAAACAAAGGTAGACTTATACACTGATGTCTGTGATACATGTTTCGTATGAATGGCTTTAAATTTTATTCTTTTTGGTATGCACTAAAATATTACCGAGGTTTATAAAGTACAATTGCGTGAGGACCTTTATTTTTGGAAGTTGCGTAGCATTTGGGTGTTTTACTGTGAGCGCGAAATATAATACATTTACAACACCTTAACTTGGGAACTTTTCAGAGGCAACCTTTGATCTTTAACGGTGTTGGTGTTGAATTCTTACATTTGACGTAATGTAAAGTGAACATTATTATCAACTAGTTATGAAACTACACTTAAATATTTATAAGCAAAGAATTGTTAGCGACATTACAGACACAGATTTTTTTCAACTACTCATACAGTCCGCCACGTTATCATGACAAAAAGCATGAATACTTGCATATCACAACAGATAATACACAGATAAAAAGTCACCATTAGACAATGCTACATAAAATACATCACAGAAAACTAACGATCACACGCATACATGTTATTTAGTCTGGGTTATAAAACAGCGTCGAATAATAAAATATATATAATAATAATTCCAGGTTCTTGTATACCGCTTTATCACAACCTAGCTCCTAGGTCGTCTCAGAGCGGTTCTCAAATTATTATCCGTGGTTATAGGGCCTTTGCAACCAGCCAATATATTTCTCCCTGGGGAGCAGACAGCCGGCGCTGTCATTTCGGCGCTCACAGCTAGCATTCAACAATTCTAGCACTGCCCAACCACGTACTCATTTACAGCTGAGTAGACTGGAACGAGCAGAGTGAAGTACCTTACTCAAAGATACAACACAATGCCGTGTCGTGACTCGAACTCGCAACCTTTCGGTCACGAGCCCGGCGTCCTACTAGTAGACTACCATGCTTCCGAATAATGATATATATTGCCTCTTTGTGTTATTGTTGCAATGGCCGACTGCTGACTGGTAACGGTGTGCTGGAGGTTGATAATTGTCTGTCCCTGGACGTCCATGGTATACTTCTGAGTATTCATGTTACCCTGTAGACTGGTAACGGTGTGCTGGAGGTTGATAATTGTCTGTCCCTGGACGTCCATGGTATACTTCTGAGTACTCATGTTACTCTGTAGACTGGTGATGGTTTGTTGTTTGGAATTAACTTGAACCCTAAGATCCTGTAGTCATTTAACTGTATTCTTCTCTCCGTGGCGGAGGCTACCACACACAGAAAATTACATCCGAACAATGGAACGGTGTTAATGTGTAACATCGTTAATCAGATTCACGTCTGAGGTCGCACAAAGCAAACAACCAAATGAAAGCATCTAAAACAGTTATAAGCGTCCCGAGAAACGACAACGTTGCACTGATACTCCTACGCAAAATATTGACCTTTGATAGTTAAAAACCATTTTCAAATATCTAGAACACATGTTTTTATATAGATACATAGTAGACATAATACATTAACGACAGCTGATCAAACATCATTTTTGTGCAGATATCCTGGTGTATTCGCCCCTCTTACTTGCCGCCGTAGTATAGTTGAATCCTTCAGTATCCAACTTATTAATTCAATTACGACATGTTTGAATATCGTGATTCACTTTCATGGCGTCACAATTTAGCCCGTGCTATTCTGGATGTGGCATGCCAAGCTTTCCCAGTTAAAACAGGAGACCAAACTGTGAAAGGTGGGAGAATCGTTTTTCTTCCACACTGATCAGGTGCATTGCCGTTTTATATTTTGTAAAGATAAACAATTGCTAGGCATAAGCAAATGAACACAATCTCGTTACCGATCTTGCCTTGCCATTAGTAAATGAGTTCCGAGCTCAACTCTGATTAAATGAAGAACTTTAAGAAAATCCCAGTAATCACAATTCTTTATTAAATTAATTCAACATCAGTTATACAAAACAAATGTACAGGATTTTTATTTCAATTACCGTACGTATACTGTTAAGTCATATACAGTTTCCGTTATTTTACTTACATTATTTAATCACTGTTTAGTCTAAAATTAGGCAGTATAAATTTACTTTATATGTTTTTGCAATTTAAAACCAAAATACACAATATTTATAAAGAGCCCAAGCCTAATATTTTTTTTCCTAAATTAATGAAAGACCTGTCAAGGCAATTCAGCGTTCGCAGTTTCTTCAGGTTCCTTTCATGACCTTTTTCATTTGGGCTTGCTGAGCAACAATGCATGTTATTATTACCCAGTATTAGTGCCCCTTAGTTAAACCGCCTGAGAGGTAAATTTCTGTAAGCCAGTTATGAACTAGTTGACCTTTGTTGTATCGGATCATTTATATACGGATTATGACCACTGGTTGTAGTTTTATAGCTTTAGGTAAAGTAACCTAAATTTGTACAAAGTGACCAATGTTGCGCTGGAGTCACTTTATAAAGGTCAGAACACACGTGATATACATGTACACAACCTTGATGCACGCTGTTAGTAATTGTATTGATTGACCGCACTTTGTGTTAGGAACCTGAATAATTATGACCTAGTTATCGAATCCTGTGTACTTGAAATTATTACTTAGGGACTTATGATTTATACTATATTTTTTACAAGAATAACTATGTTACAAATAATGTATAGCTACAATAAATAACAAATACAAAAAATAGCGTATTTGCAGCGACAAAACATAGCGTAGTTTAACTAACACAAACTAGCATATTTACAGAGAAAATCCTATGAAATATACATAGTGGAAACACATGCACTAGCACAGACAAAAGCTAGAGGTTTTATTACAAACCGAAAATTAAGTTCTTATTCGGATAAAACCTTTTCAACTTACGGACATATAACCGTACATTTTGTATTGACAATTAGAACGGATGAGAAAAAGGTGTTTACACGGAAAGCAAAATATATTGACGTATACGTTTTAGTATTAACATATTTGTAAAGGTTTTCGAGTTTTTACGCTGATAAACCCTGGTGTGTAAAAACAAACAGTAACATAAGTAAACAGACAAATAGTTTTTATTTGTAAAGTAAAAACTAGCGTATTAACGCACGCACGTACGCGCACACATACACTCACACAAATACGCACGCATACACTACACTCATGAAGGCACGTCCTTAAATGGCATTAGGTGTTAATAGGACGTTAAAGAAATTAAACCAAATCAAACCAATCAATGATATGTCGGGCATATTCATTTTTTTACAAACGCAGTTTTCTAAATTCATGTATAAAAACTAATAGAATCTTCCCTTAATTGGAAGGTGTGACAGAGAAATCTCCAACCCTTCGAATGATATTCTCAAATGTCTTACCACACCCTTTATGATGTGGATGATTGTTTTTCTCCCATCCTGTTTCACCCATAAATCCACCGACAAGCGTTGATTGAATGTTTTACCAGCAAATCTAGAGTTGTCTTCTATGGTCTGCCCCTGTTGACGTGATGGCAACGCATTGAGGATATGACGTAATACTATTGTTATGACTTTGATCGCGTCATTAAAGTTTTGTGTTTGTCGCGGTGCATATCACTTTCTCATATTCATATAACCACATTTTCGCCTCATGAAAGGTTTATAAACCTACTTCATCGTATGGCCAAATTACGGAAATAATGTTAGCAGGTAAAACAGTGTCAAAATGTAACATAGGATATGTTCGTATGTAGTCTGTGTCAGTTTTCCTCCTACATTACAGTTGAGCATTTGACATCGACACTTAAATACCTAAGTTGAGAGGAAGTTATTAATTAACTTGTGACACAAGGAGATGGTTGGACAGTCAAGTGAATTGTTATTGTATAGATCGAGTGCAGGGTGAGTATATAGGTCTTGTGCTACATGTGACTTTAGTTACATGTGTATTGAATGTATGGGTACATTTACAGTGTTTCATGTTTCAGTGGAGCATTTAAACGGTTATTTAAGCTTGGTGTCCTTTACATCTCAACCTCTTCATGTGCGTAAGCTTATGGTGTCGTATCATAGTAAATAAGTTACAACCGACGCAGCATATCACTTATGTAAAATTACTAAAAACCACGTGATATCGTCAAGATTTCCCTAGGTTGATTTATTCTCTCTGTCAGTGTATTGGTAAATGCATCATTTGTAGTTAGACTGAAAAGTGTTCAAGAAGCATAATCATTCAAATTAATGTCATAACCAAATTAAATTATAAGATAAGCACTTTCTAGAGATCGTTATAAATTTCGTAATCTAATAAAGGGTTTTGCAGGCATATATCACTTTTGCCGAAACATTTTTACCCCGTTACAACGATGTACTCACATGACGGCTCTCACACCCGGGTTTTCAACTTAACCTCAGGATACAAAAAAAAAATACATATATACCTGCATCTCCATATACACGAAATCAGACCCAGAGCAGCGACGCGAGAGGGACATGCAAGCTAATTCCAACCATTCCTCTTCCAAATATCTTTGTTCGGGCATTCACAACATTGTTCAATAAACTAATGTGGAAATATTTGATAACAAATAATAGTTCTCTGTGAATTAGTTATTACTCAGTATAAAATACTTGAGTATTGCTAAAAGCACCTGGTTTATAACTTATAAAATTTCTCAAAGATTAACTTATTTTTTCCAAAATATCTAAAAATTGTATTACATAGTTCTGGCCCGTAAATATCTATAGATTGTTTTATATAGTTCTAGTCCTAAGAATATATCTATAAATTGTATAAGATAGTTCTGCCCCAAAAATACTACTAACAAGCGCACCAATAACATACTAGTCAGTTTACATATTGTACACATGACGTATAGGTGGAAACCCTTATCTTTTTGTGTATTTTAAGCTCAGGTAACAGCGGCCGGTTACACATACATTGGCCCGGTATATTTACTACATTGTATTTATAACTACAAGTAAAGGGTTACACAGACCAGGAAGTTTGTAAACAATAGTACGGAACACACATATATATATGTTAAGAAACATGTCTGATATTTATCGACGTAAGCTGCATGCATGGGTATCTCTCTGTAAAATGACGATATTGATCTTACTACTGACAATCCACTCCTCAACAGGTTAGTAACGATTGTACTGTATTTGTAACTATATAAACTTTGTGTCGTACACATGAACGATTGTCAGTGTAAACATGTACAGTTTGAACTATATGTTTGAAATGAGGGAGGAAGGGATTCCTGCCTGAAAATGTGTTATTAAATTTGTAAACAACCTGGTTCTGATCCAGCGTTAACCGTTCATCCCTGTAGACCATAATTGACTCATCCATATCAATGCATGGTACAGTCTACTAATGTTACATAGGAGTAAAATGGTTTAATGCGATGGGGTAAAATCAGGTTATCTTGCATACCTATATGTTGATACACTAGGGTGGTCGGACTGCCTGGTAGATCACTCACTCGCATTCCACCAAGGCGGATGGGGTTCGATACACCGAGCCGGCGTGACAATATATGGGGTTACCTGCCCGACCACTATAAATTTACGATTGCAAATAGCATCGGAATACGTATTGAAAACGGGAAAAAAACATATTTGTTTGCGTTGTATTGGCGCTTATACCCCATACATGGACATACTTTTATTCATATTATATTTCCAAAAATTAGAGAAGAGACAATATTTATTACCTGGATGGGACCGGTACTGAATCTATTTCTAAAAAAGCATGCATGTCCTGTGTCCTTAATATAATAAAAATAGTGTCTCTTATGTATGCAGTTGTGTTAAAAAAGTTAATTTCCTATTATAAGAGAATAAATAATTGCAAAAAGTAATCTCAACAGAAAAAGTGTTCATTTTCAACTGTGTTTACATCTCTGTGTAAATCATTGAAAACATATAACACGTTCCATATCTGACACATATTCTGCCTGTACATAACTTGGCTTTGCAAGAGATGTTTATTGTGTTTGATGACTTAGTAAATGTTAAAGAGTATACAAACATTGAAAGTGGGAAAGCGAGTATACATAAACATATACAGATGTACTGCATGGTCTTGAATGAAGAAGTCGAAGACAATGAGTTGTAATAAGAAATACATCGATGCGCTTTATGAAAACATTTGAAAGTGGTTTTCGTCCCGTGAGTATTCCTTTTAAGTAGGTTTGTCCAATGGTAGGGGGAAGGTGTTTAGTCCCTTACCTATTAATACTGGAATCCTTCCGGTAATATATATTTCCTGGTGTCCATAAATAATGCTGAGACCTCAACAAATTCTTTATTTGAATATTGCCTTGTGTGCAATTAACTTAAGATGAATAATTACTGCTAAGGTGATTCAATATGTTTTAACACGGACTTATCATATTCATATTCTTTGGTTTCATTGTGCGGTAAGAAGTTTCCCGACAGTCCCTCTCTTAGGTCCCATTTAGAAATTTTGCATCTCAGTCAGACCGCATGTGTATACTACCTAGTTTCAAAACCTTCACGTGACGTTATCGGCGCTATTTTTAACAGGCTTTTCCGAGCAATTAGAGTAGTTAAACTGGACATTCAGAACAGACTAGGAATATGGGGATAGCAAGGAAATATAATTGGCAGTGCAGACAACACGTACATTTAATTAATAAGGAGGCAAATACACCAACATTCTCGGTATCCGGTACACATAATAGTAATGAAAAAACAACTTTATTTAGTATCAGCTATAAGGATATCACAGAATGTACAAGTGTTGAAATTAGGTTAAAGTTTATCATCTAAGATACAATATTGCTTAATACAAGTTTAAAAATTATCACAGAATGAACAAATTAATTGTGTAAATTTGCCGGTACGTCAATTAAAATGGCACAATGCCTTAAGTACATACATGCTAAACATGCTACACATACACACGTGCAGGCATGTACAACACACGCGGAATCACGTCCTTAAATCGCTTAATCTGTGAATAGTTTCACCTCTATCCCCCACGCAATCAAAACTATTCATCAATAATTCGTAATTCGTGTTAAATTTTGAGGGGAGTAGTTATTGATATGCTATATTTGACAATGGAAACAGTTTATACATCATAAACGAGAATACGAAGTATTTCGTTCGATTTGACACACAGCTGATACCTGTGCAAATGTTAAAAAAATGAATTTATTTACAGCAACGTTGTTTAAAAGATAATACAAATAATTGTCTGTACAAGATGATTAAAGAATATATGAAATATTCAGGAAGAAAAAATAGCTAAAATATTATGAAAAATATAAAGATCTTTCTTAGCTTGAATAATATATATATCATATTAAATAAGATATACCATATTATATTATGAAATAGAGAAGGGACATTTCTTCTTAAATAAATGCTCAGATAGCTTGCCATTATAGCTCGTGGCCAATTTATTTCTTTTAAGTCGATCAGGTTAATACTCTGATATTGATGTTAGTAGAATACTTCACATCGTACACGTAACCGTTTGACAGATATACACAGTTATTGATTACCAATACTTAGAATTTTGCATACCAGTCTGAGTGATAACTGTAAATTCTTTATCCTTTATTGGGAGGTCCTCTTTGTCAATGGCATTTTCCGTATTTGTTGTCTTAAAAAATATAGGAGCCACACGTACAAAACAAAACAATTTAATCAGTGATTGTTTTTTTCAACGTTCATTGTCTTCCTGAACAGTTTCGGAAAGACTATGTATAAGAATTTGACCATTTTCAACATCGTGCCGTAAGCAATCGTCTTTATAAAAGTAACAACATGAACATCATCCTGCAAGTTACGTGCGATGCATTATTTAACCCTTTCCAAAACGGCTTTCTTATTCCTCTTTTATTTCATGGTTTATTTCATGGGTTATCTTGTTCATGTTCCCACATTTGTTTTTCCTGTTTCGAAAAAAACCCAATGAGTTTGAGCCCAAGTCAAATATCTTATTTTACAGCAGCACATACGTGCAGTCATGTAGCATACTAAAATTAACAAAGGGCCACGTTGGCCGTGTAGTTAAGTCATCTGACGATTTACTATCATTAGCCCTCCACTATTGGGTCGTGGGTTCGAGGTCTATGCTTAGATGTCGCCAGGTACTTGACGCAGGTCGGTGCTTTTTTCTCGCTGGTTACTCAATCACCAAAACATGGCCTGTCCTTAAATGATAAGACGTTAAACACAAACCAAATAGGTTCCGTATATGGTGTTTTAAAAATATGAATAGTTTGACCTGTAAAACAGATGCTGCAACATTGACTGGGTCTTCCGAGTACGCTCTCTCCGGGATTGAGTTTATCCTGACGTGTACCGTACCGGATGAGGCAAATAGAGTCCAGCTGTACCGTCGTCCTGCCCTGGCTGCTATACTAGGAAGCATACAAGTAGCTGGCGGTCAATGTTATAACACTGCTACTACTACTCCCGTCCTCTGTAGCCCGGATGTCTGCTCATGTAATGCCACCTCGTCTAACTATGGTACAGTGTTCCAGTGGGTCATACAGCCACAGACAAAAGACAATGGATCTGTTTGGTTTTGTCTTCGTACCAATCCAAGTCTTCCTGAAGCTGACAGGGTGGTAAGGAGCCCTGACTACACACTTAAAGTTGCAGGTACGTGACAGTCTTCAGAAACCGCCTTGCCTCATACAATTACATGGTAGATTGCCTATGTATATTTATTATTATTACCTGTAGTTATGATACACGTGCTTTATCTTAACCGGTAACGTGAGCGTGTAAATTGATCTCCAATCGAATTGTCCATTACTGAATCGTACGGTTACAGCACAAACACTTTTCGTACTTTTTGTTACATTTTGCGGTTCACGGAGCACAATAAGTCCATAATTTGCCCGTAAATATGCCACGCAGAATATCTAGAGCGATAAGAACCGAGTCGGTTGATTATATATTTGATTCGCTGAATTGGATGATGTTATACCATACGAAGTATTACATATACTAATATTTACCATATAATAACGTTTGTGCGAAGTCTGTTCACCATCATGACTCTAACCGAAAATCATTACTAGATTGTAAAACAATAATAATTAGAATAGAGTAAGGACAAGAAAATCCGGAATTTTATCTTTTATATCACAAATGTGAATTTATACTTATTTGTTAATATATATGTATGACGATTACTGATACATGTACGTGATCGAATATTTTGAACAGTATGTACATTTTTTAAGGCGATTCTAGACTCCCATGTACATTATATGTATATATATATATATATATATATATATGTTTAGAATATTTGGAAAATATCATAAAAACATTAAAAAACATTAAAAAATGTATATATATATTTGAAGTCAAGATTTTTTCAAAGAAATTTTATCATGATCTTTTTTAGTTTTCTATGATATTGAGAAATGAGTCGCCATAGTCATGAAAACACCACTTCAAAGTGTATGCAATAATGCGAGGAGCCTGTGCTTCCGTCGTTTAAATATACTTCGGAAAAAAGTAGAGGATATGATATTTACAACCTAATATCAAACAAATTTCCATCTATAAAAATGATCATCAATCGCAACAAACGTGAATCATTCCTACTAGGACGGAAGTACACGATTATTTAAGTCGGGATCCCGTTTCTTGGTTTTCATATGATAAGTCAGCCCGCAGGTCATACTAACAGATGCTTGACCCAGTTCATCATCAGGGGCTTCATCTCGTTGTAGGTGCTTTTCACACATCACCAGCTGCAAGCCTCTGCGTTGAAGCAGATGAACCGTCATTCAGTGATAAAAGAACACAATTATGTCTACAGTTTGCTTACCAGTGAAAATGAAATCCAGAAAACCCAGTTTTCAAATCAGTATTTTATCCAAAGTATACATAGCGTTTCTTCTTAATCAAACTTCTGGTAACCCGTACAAACCACAGATAAAACACAGGTATATTGGAACATTGAGGTTTGATTTACATGTTTACTTTCATTTTCGTTTGGAGATTGTGATTTCTGGATGTAAAGGTCAACACGAACTAGGTTGTCCTGCCCTGCTTTCACCAACCATTAAAATTGCAACGCTTAAAAATCGAAATATTTTCAAAGATTATAGCATTCCCTTCGTTCAATAAAAGCTGATACCGAATGTTGCAATATTTTGTTTTGTTTTGGACAAAACTGGTTTGATCACCCTCCATGTTGTTTACGCTTGGTATCATTCAGATCATTCAGACGCTTTAACTATTTCCACTCAATTGATCGTTAAAACAAGATGTGACATATTTTGCAGCCAACTCGTTTACTGTTGACGTGTTTCAAAATTCTTTTTTACTGTTGACGTGTTTCAAAATTCTTTACATATTTTTATATATTTATTTTCAGTTTGATGTGTTCATTTTTGTGAATGTCGTTTCACCATTAATATCTCACATTGCCGATGGGCCGTTAAACAATACAACACAAACAAACGCTTGAAATAGACTGAGTAATTTAAAACACTAATAGCGCATAGTCGATCATGGTAAGAAATGTACACAAGCACAATCCACGTGATGTCTTTAAACTGTTTTATTACATACTTACTAATACATACGTTTTTTTTGTATATGCGATACGACACAATGTAATTTACCCATATCAGCACTCGCCATATCACACCCCAAAACCCGTATCAGCCCTCTCCGTATCAGCACGCAAAACCCGTATCACACCCCTTTTGGAAATTTTGCGTTTTTCAATATTTAAAAAGAAAGATAGATGATCAGATAGTAGCTTTTATTAGTAAGTACATGTATGTAATAAACAGAATAAAACATGCCTTTTTCCATATCACACCCAGTGTCAACCCTCGACCAATATCAGCCCTCGGGCCTCGGCCCTTGGGCTGATATAGCAGTCTCGGATTGATACTGGGTGTGATATGGAAAAAGGCATGTATTATTCTCTATATATCACGATTGACATATAGAATTTTTCAAAACGAGTAATGTATGAAATAAATACACGTCGCTAATTAATACGATTCATTTCCTGTATTGCAATTGTACGTTATATCATTACACCCAAATGTTTATAGCGTTTACTGAGGAAAAATAGAGGTTTACAACGGCATGAGCTTAGCATTTTCCAGGCCATGTCACATTACCAACACGTTTTAATGATTCATCAAGTGAAAACAAATGTTTCATATTTTACGATTATTGTAGCCCAGACTATTTCGTTGTCAGTAACGCCACCATCTCCCGTGATTGGACAGGAAGTTACGTTAACATGTACAGCCAATCAGGACTTCATTGCTAACACAGCAGTGTATTTCAGGAGGAACACATTCCTAGTAGTAGAGCTTAATTTTAGCAGTTCTTCATGTACCTCAGTAACGACACAAGGAGGACAGAACTACACCTTTACCTGTGATTCCTCACCTGTGCGTGAGATGTCACTCACCATCCCAGTAGCTTACGTCACAGAGCACGAGCACGGGGCAGACTGTAGATGTGAAATATTCTTCGGTGCAGCAAGCAATACTCTAAAGCTTACACTAAGTGTTGAGTATTGTTCTTTTAAAATTTCCTCAGCGCATTAAGCATAATATGAAAAACGAGGTATTGATGCATGTTCCTTTTTGACGTGGTACACACCTTTACGTTGCCTGAATTGTACTCAGCTAAATGAGGATACTTCTTAGATGAAAATATGCATGAAGGCAGTGAAAGACATCAGCGAGTAAACTAAAGTTGTTTTAGTGTACGTAAAGGTAGCTCTCCTCTGTGAACGTTCATTAAAAACAGTTCATGAAGAGACAATATAAATGCATGGTAATTTAGGGTAGTCGGAAACCATATTGTTCAGTTGCTACCCGTTGGCTTTGGAAAATGTATGGTGCTGAATCAAATGACAATATTCCTGCATTGCTCGTCTACAGCAAGGCATGTTCTTACTATACTTATTTCAGGATTCCTGTCCCACCGGAAGCCAAATAACTAGATTATTCCATTGTATTTTTAAGATCACCTGGTCCAAAGGTCCAAGGAAGCTAATGAAATTCGTTGCCGTCTGTAGTCCGTCATTTACAGTAAACTTCTCTCTGAATCTCTTCTCAAAAACATCATCAGCTTGTCAGACAAGTCCTGACCAAGTGTGATAAAGTTTTAAGCGGAAAGGATGTCTAAGTTTGAACTTATTTCCTCCATATTTCTTACCAACTATAAAAATTAAAATGTTACGCTTTTCACTTCATACGTCTATCCCGAACAATTTTATTCCCGTGCAATTACTAAATAATGATGGATCGCAATCTAATTTAAAACATGCCGTAAACTTGACAATACATATACATACATATTCAGATTCCTCAATTGATCAGTCGTTGTTCAAATACAATCCAAAACACGCAGGCGTACATTATTTATACCATAACTTTTATAAAGAAATATAACCACGCTTTGGTGGAAACCTTATCAACTACACCACTGCAGGTCGGGGATCGAGACGAGAATACAGCTGCTGTTAACCACTGCATGTGTCGTAGAGAAGCGACTAATGTGGAAACCCCCTGCTTTGGTGCCCTCTATTTCGGGACACAAAAACTACCAAAACAAATCTGGTGCACGCATTGCAATAGTAAGGATCTTTAACAAATTAAAGCCAAACCTAACTATCAACTAACGATTATAATGCTACAAAGTGAGTACAGTGACCAATACTGTAAATGTTTGGACATACCTATTCTAAATGGGCTACGACAGAAAAAAATTCATAGGAAGAGGATCGATCACTTAACAACCTCTACACCTTTAATCACATTGCTTTTATTTGTGTATATAAATTGTTTTAAATTTCGTGCTACCTGTGATTAACATTACTTTTAATGACAGTGCCAGTATCTACGGTAACAATGACAACAGCAGGACTGTACGACCCTAGTGTGATGATAACCGCTGGAAATATCCGAAATTTCTTGTGTTCCACTTCTGCCAGTCGGCCTGTTGCCAAAATTGCTTGGTTCAGGGGAGATAAAAACATCACAGATCAGGCCGGTACGGCTATTGATCAAGACGCAGGCGACGATAAGTATACAAGACAGCAGAGTCTGACCATCACATGGAGTGTTGATGACACTGACAGTGGACTAAAGTGTCAGGCTGTGAACATCGAGGGAAGGACACCAGTCAGCTCTCAAACAGCCAACATCATTATACAGTGTAAGTTGTTTAAATTATCAGATTTAGTGGTCACAAGTTAAATCGTTTTGTGAAATGTAGTATATATAATAAAAACCGATATTCTAAACACACATTTTATGAAAACTAAATATTTTGAAACAAGAAAGTTATTTACATGTAATATGCAATGACTAAGTGAGAACTTTATGTGTAATACAATCTGAAAACATCGATTTGAGTCATCTTATGCTCATTTCAGAAGTTCCACAAAAACCTTCGAGAACACCTTCTTAAATTTTCTTTTTCTTTTTCAATGGTCTCCACTGAATCCTTCCTTTGCTCTTATTTGCCCTATTTTTATCCAATTTGTTTTAGTTTGAATTCTGTTTTTGTTGACACTTTGGTATTCTCTTGTTGTTTTCTATATTTATATATTTGTGGTTAAGAATATTAAATATTTTTAAAGATTTAAAATAACCGTCCACACCATTTTTATATTTCATCATGAAAAGTAACTTTGATTTTTTAGGATTTTATTGATATAATTCAGTGTAAATTACAGATAAACGTACGAGACCTTTAAAGTGATTCATGAGCTGTTTATTTTTTCGATTTTGAAAATTTGGTTTATTTGCCAATTGGTATAATAATAATGTAATGTGATTTCAATTTATGCGAATCAAGTGTATTTTGTAGTAATCAAATAAAATAACATTGCAAAACGCTGGATAAATCTTTTAACGCAAACGTTATATCTATTGACCACAGGGGCGCCACAGACTGACCCGAGCCTGACCAGAGACCCAGCCAATAAGACGCTGACAGATGGTATATCTGTAACTATGACTTGTCGTCAGGTTGGCGGCAAACCACTGGCCAAACTTACCTGGTCTGGTGTGTGTAGTTTTTGGAACACACAAATAGACAGTAGAAACAACACAACGGTCACTTCTAGTATTCAGTTTTCTCTGAATAAGACGTATACTGGTCTAGTATGTATCTGTGTGTCCAGACATCCGGTCAACAGCTACCAAAAGTCAGTCAATCAGACGTTCGACGTATTTTGTAAGTGAAACAATACGTTGTTTTTCACAAAAATAAAACATAACATAAGCATTGTATTTTTGTCGACAAATACAAAAATGAAAAGATTAACGATGACCCAGTTAACACTATTAAAACAGTTTGAGTTCGGATAATATGATCAGGATATCCTTGATCTGTTTCGCCGGGTCGTATTTTCGATATAGGTTTCGACCCTTCCCTTTATCTAAAATGAGCATCAATTAATAAACAAAATGTATTGCCCTTCTGGTAGGGAAAACAACTATGTGTTTTCCACCATATGAATTATGTTTCACGAGGGCGAAGCCCGAATTATATCTGATTCATAGGGGGCACGCAATGGATCGTTCTTCCCTTTCACGTAGCCAATAAATATGTTTTTTTTACCGGAATAGAACAATAACATAAAAGTGAATATGCCCAGGCCTCCGCACCATTNATGCGCACCTGACGGGAATCCTCAATCTTTCACTTTTTCCAAATGGCAGCATATGTCTGAGTATAGTCAGTTAATTCGTGAGCTGGATGGAGTAACCAGTGATAAGGAGTCTGTGTTGACAATTCCTGATCCTGGATTGGACGCTAGATACCAGGATACCGGTCACTATGTATGCAGG